CCCCCGTAAACAAAAAAAAAAAAAAAAAAGAAAAAAGAAAAGAAAAGAAAAAAGAAAATGAGGGACCAGCAGATGGCGTACAGCCTTGGACTCTCACAGAGTTGACCACAGTTCAAGTCCCAGACCTGGCAGTTTAAAACTTACACTGAGCACATGCGTACATGCCCAAAATCCTGACAAGAAAATGGAGGAGAAGGGATTGCAGCATGGCCATCTCCCCAGGGGTGATTTCTCGCCCTCTCTCTGTCTCTCTGACCAGGGCACATGCCCTATAGCAAAAATCTCTTTAAACAAATAAATAAAAAGAATAGAAATAAGCCTGTCAGGCCACACAGGGGCGCAGAACTCTCTACTAGGGTACTAGGGAGCCATGGTAGACTTTTTTTTTTAGTTGTTTGTCATAGGGCAGGTGTGCTCGCTGGAGAGAGACAGAGAGACAGTGAGAAGGAAAGTGAGAAGTCACCTCCACCAGGGAAAATGGGCAGGCTGTAACCCCTTCTCCGTTCTCCTGGGATTTTAGGCACGCGTGCACATGCGCCCAGCGTGAATTTTCAAGCCGCCAGGTCCTGAGTTCAGACTGTGATTGTCCACGTGGGAGTCCAGCACCTTAACCATTACTCCACCTGCTGGCCCCACGGGGCACGTCTGAGCAGGGGAGGGCTACCGTCAGGTCTGTGCTTCAGGAAGAGCACCTCTGGCTGCTGTAAGGGCAAGAGGCCAGGAAACCGAAAAGGCTGGAAGGGTCCCAGAATCAACCTCACAGCCACCAGGTCCGACACTCCCCACTCCACAGATGGGCCTGTGGCAGCAAGCCCACTTACCACGTCCACCTGGACGAGCAGGACCCGCAGGGCGAAGTTCTTCCCCAGGTTCTGCAGCCGCTCGTGGATGTAGTCGGGGTGGAGGTTGTGGTAGCGGAGGCTGATGGGAGGGGAGGGGCGGGGGCGGTTGGGGGTCTCTGTCTCCCAAGACCCTGTCCCGTCGGACTCACTGGGACACAGGGCTGGGAGGCCAGCAGGCTGGGGCACGGCACAGGCGGCTCAGGGGTTACGGGACCTGCCTGGCGTCACTCTGAAGGAAAGGACAGCGGCGACTGTCACAGGCCGCCAGCTGTGGCTCCCTGAGATTGGACCCCCAGCTTCTTCACTGAGCAGGGAGAGACGGCTTGTGAGGAGCCAGGGCCCTTCCGAGTGCAGCACTGGGGGACTGCACAGCTGGTCAGGGGAAGCAGGGCCTGTCCCCAACCCTGCTGTGGCCTCAGAGGGCGCTGGCAGGTGGGGGAGGAGGGGAGGTTCTACCCTTGAGAAACTTAGGTCACCCCCACCCAGCAGCCTGCACCCCACCTCTTCTGCCGGGCCCTGTGTGCTGCCCCACCAGCGGGAGGGGAACTCAGGAAGCCGCAGAAATCCTGGCTCCTGTCAGCTCCTCGGGGTGACCCCAGTCCCTCCCTCAGACCCAGGGTCCAGGCCCCTAGCTCTCGCTGCACTGGCCTCACTGAGGCCAAACCACAGGCCATGCCCAGATGGTTGCCTGCAACCCCCCAGGACACTGGGGTGTGACCTGCTCAGGCCCCACCGGATCCCCATCCTGAGGGGCGGTGGGTGCCCCGGAGCTCACCTGAGGAAGAGGGCGCAGGTGCTCTGGCCCAGCACGTAGTCGGGGATCACATCGCCAAATTCCCAGGGCACATTGCGCACAAACTTCAGCACGGGGTTGCCCCTCTGGAGAGGAGGGGCAGAGGCTGGTGAGGACGACCCTTGGACCATGGCCACCCGGGCCCCTCTCCTCTCCCCCTACGCCCTCCTCATTCCTCACACCTGGGTCTTTCCAGCTTCTCCCTCCTCTTCCCGAGCTCCTCCTCAGAGGATCCTCCTGGTGCTCTGACCCAGGCCCTCCGCTCCTCCGGCCCCTGGTCCCCAGGTCGGTCTCCAGCTCAGCCCTCTCCTTCAGCCCCAACCTACGTGTCCTGTGGTCCACTGGTCACCTCCTGCAGGGTGTCCACCTTGCTGGGTCCAAAATGACCTCAGCATCAGCCCCACACCTGCCCCTCCACCCAGCCCCATCTGAGGGACGGCCCCACCGACCAGAGACACAGCTAATGCTCACGCCTCTCTCTCCACCTCCACCCCCAGCATTCCTCATCTTCCTCCACTGCCTAGGCCCCAAAGCCGGCTTCTGCCCCAGTGTCATCCCCTCCAAGGGGCAGCCAGAGGGATCTTTTTTTAGAGAGAGAGATTTTTGCTATAGCGCATGTGTACTCCCTAGAGAGACAGAGAAAGAAAGAGAAAGTGAGAAATCATCCCCTAGGGGGGATGGCCATATGGCAATCCCTTCTCTTCTTGGGATTTTGGGCATGCACACACATGTGCCCAGAGTGAGTTTTAAGCTGCCAGGTCTGGGACTTGAACTGCAGTCGACTACATGGGAGTCCAGCAACATAACCATTATGCCACCCACTGGTCCTCAGAGGACTCTTCTTACAGCACAAGCCTGCCCCCTGCTGCTCTGAGCCCCGCTGTGGCTCCCCAGTGCCCTCCTGAGGAAGCCCACAGTCCTTCCTATGGCCTGTGACCTCCAGCCTGGGTGGGCTCAGCAGGCAACAGAGAAAGAAAGAGAAACTGAGAAATCAACCCCTAGGGGGGATGGCCATATGGCAATCCCTTCTCTTCTTGGGATTTTGGGCATGCACACACATGTGCCCAGAGTGAGTTTTAAGCTGCCAGGTCTGGGACTTGAACTGCAGTCGACTACATGGGAGTCCAGCAACATAACCATTATGCCACCCACTGGTCCTCAGAGGACTCTTCTTACAGCACAAGCCTGCCCCCTGCTGCTCTGAGCCCCGCTGTGGCTCCCCAGTGCCCTCCTGAGGAAGCCCACAGTCCTTCCTATGGCCTGTGACCTCCAGCCTGGGTGGGCTCAGCAGGCTCTTGTCTGACTCCCCCTCGCTCTACCCTGAACACGCTCTAGCTCAAGGCCGAAATCCTCTGAGCAAGTCAAATCTAGCCTCCCAGTGTCTACTGAGCAGCTACTGCAAGTCTCAGAGCTGGGGACACAGCAGACACAGAGCCCTGGGACGTGGGGACAGGGACGTGGGATACTGTGGTACAGTAAGACATACAGGCCCAGCTGCGACGGAGCAGACAGGATGCGGCCACTCAGCAGGCAGGGCCACGTGGGAGCTGGGTTCAACCCCCCGCTCACCCTAAAAAGCTGGGTGCGGTGGACACATGCCTGCAGTCCAGCTACTTGGGAAACAGAGGCAGGTCAGAGCTCATAGCCTAGGTGGGCAACCGCGTGAGACCCTGTCCAAAATACCACACACGCACACACAGGTACACACACATGCACACGCACATAGAGAAACACCTACTTGGCCGCTGGCCGGCTTCCTGACAGCTCCTGGAACACGGGAGACAGGGGTGCTGGAGAACGTTTGGCTCTCAGCCCTCTGTCATTGCCCGAGTGACAAGTGTCTGACGCAGCACTCCTAAGCCCCTTGGAACTTGCTGGTGCCGGGAGCAACTTGGTTCTCAGGCAGGGACTCAGTGGGCGCCTGGATAGCTTTAGGACAGGGCCATTTGCCAGGGGAAGCCCCCCCCAACTAGAGAGGTGGGGCTGGAAGTCAAGCTCTGACGCCCCCTGATGTGTTTACTGAGCAGCTCCTGTGTGCCTCAGAGTTGGCAGTGACAGGACAGACAGGCAGACCCGTGCGCACAGCCTGGGGACGCGGGGACACTGATAGGATGAGAAATGAGGCAGCAGCACCAGCCAGACCTCACCGCCGTGGAGGGGAGGGGGCTGAGCTGCTCACGGAGGCCAATGGCATGAGTCATGCGGGACAGGCTTCAGGGAGCACCCAGATCACTGGTAACGTGGAGGTAGCTCCTGGAGGTGGCGCTGGAGAGGGCACAGCAGCCCGGGCCCCCTCCCCTGCTTCTGGCTCTAAGCATCTCTTCCACCTGGCTGATCATCGGTATCCTTTATCCACATCTCTAAAAAACGGGAAACTTGAGACCAGCAGTTAGCATAATGGCTATGTCGCTGGACTCCCATGTAGTCAACTGCGGTTCGTGTCCCAGACCCACTGACTTAAACTCACAACAGGTGCGTGTGCGTGCGTGCCCAAGATATCAAGAGGAGAATGGAGGAGAAGGGACTGCGGCGTGGCCATCCCCCCTGGGGGGTGATTTCTCACTTTCTATCTCTCTGTCTCTTTCTGTCTTTCTGGTGAGTGCATGCACCCTGTAGCAAAAATCTCTCCAAAAAAAGAAAAAAAGACAAACGGGAAAGTTTCTGAGATCTTTTTTTATTTTTAAATGGATTTTTGCTATAGGGCATGTGTGCTCACTGGAGAGACAGAGAGACAAGTAAGTGAGAAATCACCCCCTGGGGGATGGTCACACTGCAATCCTTTCTTCTCCAATCTCCTCTCGGGAATATGAGCACCCACACACACAGGCCTTGTGTGTGTGTGTGTGTGTGTGTGTGTTTATTGGACTTCATTCATTCATTCGTTTATTTAAATTTGACCAGAGAGGGACAAAGTGAGAGAAAGAGGGAAAGTAAGAAAGCAAGCCACCAGGTCTGGGATTCAAACCAAGGTTGGCCATGTGGGAGTCCAGCGCACTTCACCATGCCACCTGCTGGCTCCTGTGCCCAGTGTGAGTTTTAAGCCACCAGGTCCAGGACTCAAACTATGGCCAACAACGTGGGAGTCCAGCGATGTCACCATTCCGCCATCCGCTGTCCCGAAGGATTCTGAACTCTGTGAGCGCCCCCAGTGAACTACACCAGAAGCGGGGAACGCCGGAACCCTGGCGTCCAGCTTTGCCCCGTGCCTCTTCATCTTCCCAGAAAGAGGAAGGCAACGGCGGGCTGCAGAGGCCAGGCTCCACAGGGCTGACCCACGGGGCGGGCCGCCCTGAGTACACCGGGCACACGAGGCCATGATGGCGGAGGGCTGAGCCTGGTCGAGGATCCCGGCTCAGACCTCGTCAGGGGTTGTGTCTCTCTGTCTTTCTCACAGAGTAAATGAATACACTTCAAAAAAAAAAAAGTTAGGCACCAGACACTTGGTTGGTGTGTGAATGAAAGAACGAACGGCAGAACTCAGCCCTCCTGCACCGCCCGCGAGTCATCCCTGGGACAGCGTTTCCCACCAGGAGGCTCGAGGCCCCATCCCGTGTCCTCCTCACCTGCCGCGGGCTCACGATGATGGTGTTGGACTTCGCTCCTGGTTTGGGGGCCTGGTTAGGGGTCTCTCCTGCCAGGGGTTCTGACCCCGTGGAGCCTGTGGCTCCAGCCCCTCCAAGAGGCCGTGAGATGGCATACTCGGCGTAGGTCTGAGGGGCGGCCTGGGCCGAGGTCTCCTCTGTGGGAAGGCTCCGTGTGGATTTGAACAAGGGCTTGGCCTGTGCAGAGAAATGCAGGGGAATTGCAGGGGACCCCGAGGAAAAACGTGAGCCCCTCTGAGTCACCCCCAACTCCTCATGAGCCCTCCAGAGGCAATGCATGAGGGCCAGAAACTCAAAAGCTCAACCTGGGGAACCAGCAGTTAGCGTAATGGCTATGTCGCTGGACTCCCACGTAGTCGACTGTGGTTCGTGTCCCGGACCCGGTGGCTTAAAACTCACGCCGGGCGCGTGTGCGTGCGTGCCCAAGATCCCGAGAGGAGAATGGAGAAGGGATTGTGGCGTGACCATCCCCCCTGGGGGGTGATTTCTCGCTTTCTGTCTCTATGTCTCTCTCTGTCTGTCTGGCGAGCGCACGCACCCTACAGTGAAAATCTCTCCAAAAAAAACAACAAAAAAAAAAGCTCAACCTGGACACTTCCCCTACCTCCTCGGCCTCAGCCTCCACCCTGGTCCCAGCCACCACCACCTCCATGGTGGACCAACGAACTCACCTCCCACCACCTCCCTGCCCTCACCTTCACCCCCACCTCCCACAGTCTATCCCTACACAAAGTCATCACCTCTCCCCTGCTCAGAGCCCTTGCTGGCCCCCGCCTCAGAGTAAAAGCCAAAGTTGTTGGGGCCAGCAGGTGACGTGGTGGTTAAAGGTGCTGGACTCCTGGGGCTGGTGGGTGGCATGACGGTTAAGGCGCTGGACTCTCACATGCCTGACTATGATTCAAGTCCTGGACCTGGCAGCTTTCTTTCTCACTTTCCCTCTCTCTGTCTCTCTCTGGTCAAATTAAGAAAATAAAAAATAAAAAATTTTAAGAGTAAAAAATAATGAATTAAAAAAAAAAAAACAGGGGAGATCAGCAGTTGGCATAATGGCTATGTTGCTGAATTCCAATGTAGTCTACCTCAGTTCGAGTCTCGGACTCGGTGGCCTAAACTCATGCCAGGCGCGTGTGCGTGCGTGCCCAAGATCCCAAGAGGAGAATGGAGGAGAAGGGATTGTAGTGTGGCCATCCCCCTTGGGGGGTGATTTCTCACTTCCTGTCTCTCTGTCTCTCTCTGTCTTTCTGGCTAGCGCATGCACCCTATAGCAAAAACCTCTCAAAAAAAAAGGTGCTGGATTCCCACACGGACAACCACAGTCCTGGACCCAGCAGTTTGAAAATCATGCCAGGAGTATGTGTGTGCATACCCAAAATCCCAAGAGGAGAATGGAAGAGAAGGGACTGTGATGCGGCCATCCCCTTGGGGAGGTGATTTCTCACTTTCCCTCTCTCTATCTCTCTTGAGTAAGCACACATACCCTATGGGGGAAATTTTTAAAAAGCCAAAGCTGTCACTGCAGTCCATGAGGTTCTAGGTCAGTCTCTGCCCCCTCGCTTCAGGGTCCACAACTCCTACCACTCCTCCATCCCCACTGGCCTTCTGCTGCCCTCCCATGGGCCAGGCTGTCTCTGACCTCAGGGCCTTTGTGCTGTGTGTTCCCTCTCTTCCCACATGTCCACATGACTCACTCCCTCACATCTCTGCAAGACGGCAGGTCCTTAGAGAGGACCTCCCTTGACCTTCCCCTTCCTGTCCTCTGCCCCATCACATCCTGTATTTTTTTTTTTTGGAGAGGTTTTTGCTATAGGACACATGCGCTTGCCAGAAAGACAGAGAGAGACAGAAAGCGAGAAATCACCCCCCAGGGGGGATGGCCATGCCGCAATCCCTTCTCCTCCGTTCTCCTCTCGGGATCTTGGGTGTGCACACACACACACCCGGCGTGAGTTTAAGCCACCGGGTCCGGGACTTGAACTGCGGTCGACTGCATGGGAGTCCAGCGACATAGCCATTACGCCAACTACTGGTCCCTCCTGTATCTTTTTTTAAATTTTTTATTTAATTTATTTCTTCTTATTATTATTTTTAATTTGCTATAGGGCATGAATGCTGACCAGAAAGAGACAGAGAGAGGGAGAAAGTGAGGAAGCAAGCCGCCAGGTCCAGGACTCAAACCACAGTAGGTCATGTGGGAGTCCAGTGTCTTAATCACCATGCCATCTGCTGGCCGGAAACCTTTTAATTCTTTTTTTTTTTTTTTTGGTAGATTTTTTACTATAGGGTGTGTGCGTTTGCTGGAGAGATAGAAACAAAGGGAGAAAGCAAGAAATCAGCGCCCGGTGGATGGTCACGCTGCAATTCCTTCTCCATTTTCCTCTTGGGATTTTGGGCACAGACCCACAGGCACCCAGCATGAGTTTCAAACTGCTGGGCCTGGGACTCTATTCACTGCTGGCCGTGTTAGAATCCAGTATCTTAACCACTACACCACCTGCTAGCCCCCCTTCCAATTCTTTTTTTTTGGCGGGAGAGAGGTTTTGTTTGTGTTTGTTTTTGTTTTTTGCTACTATGTGCCTGTACTTGTCAGAGGGACACAGAGACAGAGAAAGAAAGTGAGAAATCAAACACACACACACACATACACCCGGAAGGGATGGCCAAGCTGCAATTCCTTCAGATCTCTTGGGATCTCGGGAACGCACGCACATGCACCAGGGTGTTTCAAGCTGCCGGGTATGGGGCTCAAACTGCTGTGGGTCACTACATGGGATTCCAGTGATGTAACCATTACGCCATCTGCTGGTCCCTCTTCTTCCAATTCTTAAACATCAACAACAAATCCATATCAGAAAAAAACAAAAACAAAAACAAAAACAAGGGACCAGTGTAATGGCTATATCGCTGGAGTCCCATGTAGTAGGCCGCGGTTCGAATCCCAGACCAGGCAGCTTAAACTCACGCTGGGAGCATGTGCGTGCGTGCGTGCGTGCCCAAGATCCCGAGAGAAGGGACTGCAGCGTGGCCATCCACACTGGGGGATGATTTCTCGCTTTGTCTCTGTCTTTCTGGCAAGTGCACACGCCCTATAGCAAAAACCTCTCCCTTCCCCCCACCAAAAAAAAAAAAAAAAGGAAAAGAAAAAAAAACAGAATAAACACAACGCAAGGCCCTCCCTGTCTCGTTTGCAGCCTGTGCCCTGGCTGCCTCTTAGAACCAGCCTGCTATTTTATAGCTGGGTAAACTGAGACCTGGGGAGGATGAAGGACCGTTTCCCCATGACCACCCTGGCCCCAACATCTGACCCACCCTCACCACCTTCGGCCTGTGAGGCCGCATCCTCTCTCCTTCCTCCTGATGCCCCACCTCAGCCCCCCCGTGGCTCCCCACCCCCTGTCCTACCCGTTCTGGAGGGACCTCGTCTTCATCCAGCGGTATGACAAATTTCTTCCTTGCGGGCGGCCCTGCAGGCTGCAGTGCCTCCTCGTCCTCCTTACCAGGGTCCATTTGCAGCCTGACAGGGAAGACCCAGAGGAGGGAGCGAGTGAGACATCCGCGTCTGCAAGCCCATTCCCCTAGCAGGAACCCCCATTCACAGCCATCCCCCCAAATATCCCAGAGTTCCACAGCGTCGAGGGCCAAACACCCAGAGCCCGGGGTTCGGCAAACAGCGCCTCATTGACCCTCTCCACCTTCGGCTCGCCCCGCCCCGCCCCTTAACCGTCCCTCCAAATTTCGCCCCT